GAGAGAGAGCAATATACAAAATAGAATATATAAAAAAGCAATACTTAATTTCCGCTCTTTTCTCGCGACATAATGTTTCATGTGTACGTGCTGTTTATTTATCGACGGTCACACAATCTCCAGGCGCTTGAAAAGGACAGAAAACTCAATTTAATAATCATTATTACTACAGATTTGAGTTTCCTTTCCTTTTCAAGCTCAGAAGGGAAGTTATTTAACCGTTGCTTGAAGGAGAAGTTTGTGGAAGGTGTCAAGTGTATTCCCGGTTTTCAAAAACCCGAGTGAGCACTCATCCCCCACTCATTATAAACCTATCAGTGTCATTAGCAAGATTTTTGAGGTTATAATCAACAAGAAGTTTGTTGATTACCTAAATAGAAACAATCTCTTGAGCGACAAGCAGTACGGATTTCGATCGATTTGACCCACTGCTGATGTCCTTTACTCCCATTACTCACCGAATCATTGAGGCACGAGACAACAAATACAATTAACAGACTATCGCATTAGATATTTTAATGAACTTTGACAAGGTGTGGCATAAAGGATTACTGCAAAAACTCTCTAACTATGGAATCACTAGATGAGTCTTTTCCATTATAAAGTCCTTCCTAAATGGTAAATCTCTGAAGATAGTTGTTAAATGGCAATCTTCCGAGACCCTAGCGATCAACGTAGGCGTCTCGCTGGTATCGCTTCTCGGACCAACCCTGTTTTTACTTTACATAAATTATCTGCCTAAGAGTATACTCCGATCATTTGTGAACATCTATACTGATGATACAAGGGATTTGGGTGTACCTCTAAAACTCTAGACAACCAGAGATTGGCATCTGATTTCTGCTATGACTTAGCTCTAACATCTCAGTGAGGGAAAAAAACTGATTGGTTACATTCAATGCTTCGAAAAATAATTTTTAGTTGCATTCCATCATCGCCGATCGGAATCCCGCACAATCACCAATCACGATGAATAGATGTTCCCTCAGAGAGGCCCCGTGCCTTGAGCACCTGTGAGACTTAAATTCAATCCAGGCCTCAAGTGGAACTCATACGTACGATCCATCTGTAAAGATGCAGGAAAAATTGTCGGTTCCCAGTACCGCTCCAGTAAGTACCTGACTCCTCCTATTATCCTTTAATTTTCCAAGAGTAAGATCAGGCCAAAAATGGAGTGCTGTTGTTATACACGGACAGGAGCTGCCCTGTCTTTACCTTTAGTCCCGATAGAGTTGAATGGGAAAGGTCCATACGAAGGATGCATAACTTTTAGTTAAGGGTGACAAACCTAACTTCGCTAATAACATACAGTCTAGATTAATAAATCCAACAAAAACTGAACTAATTCTAATCTAAAAAAATATAATTAAAAAATAACCGATAAATTACTAGTTACACCGTGTACTAATCTCTGGAAAGATTCGTCGGACACTATCAAATGGTTTGTTAACATTGAAAATAAAGAAATAGCTATCTTTAGCAAATTTTATATCATAGATTTCTATTCCTCTATCTCTTGAGATCTTTTGGTAAATTGCATTAACAACTATATGGAGATCACTGATGAGGAGACTAATATCATCCTAATAGCTAGAAAATCACTTCTCTTAACAATTCCATCTGGACTAAGTGTCATAATGACTGCTTTGATGCCCCTATGGGCGCATATGATTCAGCCCAGGTTGCTGATTTAGTATGTATTTACATTTTAGATACACTTAGTAGAATAGTAGATGGACTCATTTTCATCCTCAATAGTAATGGTTTACTCCAAAAGAAAAAAACATCGGACAGTATTTTCTAAAGTTAATAAATAAGCACTTTCAAAAAAAAAAAAAAAAACCTTTAAGATTTTCAATAGGAAAACGATTAAGATTAGCTACTCTTGTACTAACAACATGTATAAAATTATTAACTCACACAATAACCATAATTCAAGAAATTTTTTATGGGACCAACAACAAACCTGGTATCGAACCCTCCTGTAGTTGTAAATCTAAAGATAATTGCCCAGTAGTGGGCAAATGCAAATCTACCAGGGTTATATATAAATCGGCCATTTCCCCCAAAGAAAATATGAAAAATAATAATGTTTACATTGGAATTTCCGCGGGGGAATGGAAACAAAGATTTTATACCCATAGTCTTTCAATTTCTAACCCTAAACTAAAACACCAAACAGCTCTTTCAAAATTTCCATATTGAATTCCCCACCTAAAACATTTTTATACGATATTAATTATAATTTATAAACTTTCCCCTACTTGAATATCTTCCTCTCTTTCCGTTAATCCCTTACATCCTTTTATCAATATATTTTAAAGTTATTTTTGGATTCGTTTTTTTTTTATTTCTCCTTTTATTTTAAATTAAAAATTCTTTTTTCATATAACCCCAAATTAATGTCATAAGGTTAATATTTGATTTTTTAAAATAAAACTTCTTCTCCTTAAGACAGATATTTCGACCTTCTCCTGACCCCTGTCTCGTGCCTTTCGTCTGACTGAAACATTGAAATGTGTAAACTCTATATTAGATGTTTTCGGTAAGTTGGATTTGGGTTGATTTATTAGCTTTCACAGTTAAATTCTACTTCCTGCCTCACTGAACTTTATAGACATGAACTCATTCCACACCGGGGTTGATAAGACAGACGAGCGCTATTGTCATCTGCCGAAATAGTCCATTCCTCATATGAGGTAATTTTGGATTTATTTGTTTATATATATATATATATATATATATATATATATATATATATATATATATATATATATATATATATATATAGATAGATAGATAGATAGATAGATAGATAGATATGTGTGTGTGCGTGTGTGTGTGTGTGTGTGTGTGTGATGCGTTTAGGCTGTAATACTTAATTCTCATCGGTCTCAGTAGTTAGTGTTTAGGTTCAGAAAAAACCCAGATTTCAAACAATGATTTTAAAATTTAGCGAACTCTTTCCACTCAGATAACTGTCGCAACATCATCTACCTACACTTTATTTCCTTCTCATTAGGTAACGTTATGGATTAAGTTAACCCCACTATCAATCTACAGAGGAGAAAGAGGCCATAAATGTGTAGATACACGTATTTGTTTGTATATATTTGGCGCAAAACCTATTGTTGCTGGAAACAACTCAAACAGGTAAAAATCTGTATAAGAAGATTATATTGGTCAGTCTGCCTGGTAATTATATTATTATTCAAACTCGCAGGTTCGTATTTGATGACAATCGGAAATACGAAACGTTCTCATTCATGCAGCTTCATTAATGCAGAAGGTAAATTAAAAGAAATCTGTTAGTAACATTATGTTAAACTATTTTCTGAGTAGTGGAGGATCTTACTAGAGAAATACTATTTGAAATCATGACTATTTGACCTCTATATATGTTAACCCAGTAGAATCCTTGTAGAGTACAGGGAAAGAACCTCACTATGGGGTGTTGTTGATGTGGGTTCCGCAGAAAGTAGATTTTACAAGATGGTGTTGTTATCTCCCCACGACGAGTGTTGAACTCAGAATTGATTTTTTTTCCTATACTGGTTACCAAACCAAGCGAGTGAGTTCCAGCCGAGAGGAGAGGCGATGCATTTATACCTTCTCAAGTTATTTGCACGACAGCGAACGTAACTACATCGTCAGGATTTTGAACTCGGTACTCCGAGCCCACTTTCTGCGCCGATAACCGTTACGCATATCCTTCCAGGCAGAGACACGGGCTGTTTTGATATGTATTAAACATCTTTGCAAGGCCGGGACTTCCATTGACTGTCAGACCTTATTTTACATGTGGAAGTGCAAGCATTTCCCGAATATCTAACAATTATCTGAGAACCTGTAACAGAGGTGGACAACCCTCGAAAATATTCGTTCTTGAAGTGAACAAGTCCGACAAGAGGCGAAATTAGCAGATGGGAAGATTGTGTTGTACTACTTTCCAAGTGGAACGAATCTGCCTGATTTAAAAAAATATAGTATGTATCTATCTGATTATTTTCCGTTTTCATTCGTCCTACATCGGAAAATAGTAACACCTACTCTCTTTAATTTTCACAATGGGTAGGAACATTCAAAAAAATAAATTAGCTGTTTATTTTACTTGCTTGAAATGCTGTAAACAGTCCTAGAATTCGGCCTCTTTCTAAATGGAAGATCAATTCAACCAAACGCTAACTCTAACGAACGTGTAAGAGATCACGCGCAAACACTTGGATACATTGTAAAGCCCAAAACAATTTAGTTCATCTCAACTGTAACAAAATTGTAGTGGCTGGCCGTTCGTATCCGAGTATGCCTGTATACTAAAGTGGCTAACAAATCCATGCTCCAGACGCCATCTCAGGTACATGTGTGTTTGTTCAAACACCCACAGAGCCAACCTGCTGAGCAAACCTTAGTTACAGTTTCTGGGAAAGAGCGCATTATCTGGCGTGATCAACAGTCTGAACAAGGCCAGTACTCTCAAACCCTCGATCACGATGACTTGTGACTTCGTGCTAGCTAAACCATCGACCGCTTCCGAACATTTCTATCTACCCAATTTCACTCACAATGCTTGGGTCAACTAGTGGTATGTTTTTTCATGCGCTTTTCAAAGGTGCCGCACGCTGGGGTCGCCTCCCCAGGCCGATAACATCAAGAAGTCACCTTCCTGATAAATCGACCACGATGAAATTCGAACCCGGGTTTCATGCTCTGAAAGCAAACGTTCTAACCGATCGTGCGTCTCATTGTAGTTAAATGGTTGGCAAGATCCTTATTAGTGAGTTCGATCCTCACTGGGTGTCCGATACTTTTGGCCCTATGTCAGTCTAAGGCTTATTAAAATAATAGCTACAACAAAATTCTATCTTTATCAATCCTCTGATGGGGTGCTGAAATATTCTCGACTCGACCCAATTCCAAAATTCTGAGCAAACAGGAGAATTTTCACAATCCCTTTTTGATTGAACCGAGAAATTTTCAGTATCCCATTATATATAAGCGGCTTGCGGCCACATTATGTTGAAACATTGGTTCCCGTAAGATCACTGAAATTAAGCAACGTTGTGCTTGGTTAGTACCTAGATGGGTGACCGCTTGGGAATACCAGGTGCTGTAAGTTTGGATGTGCAGGTGGTGTAAAAAATACTGGCTCGGAATTGTCAATCAGAAAGCCAAGTTTCAATTCGCGTTAGGTTTGTTTTATTCACTTACGCGTAAATACCCTTTGGAAAAAGGTTGAATACACATCTTCCCCGCACCCCCAGCTATTGGTTAATTGGTAAGACTTGTATCGCTAAACCAATATATTCTAAAAAAAAAAAAATTCTTACAATCTAAAACTATTTTCTGGCTTTCAATAACCTGCAAAGGGTGATAAGCCGTAGAAAACGAATCAATCAATCAATGTGTATATACGCGCGTGCGCAAACACACACATACGCATGCGCTTTGGGTATTTTTTATTATAAATTTTCCATTTTCAGTTCTAATTTATTTATTTTAATATTTTTTGACGGAACCTCCCTCTTCTTTCTGAAGTCTCTGTCTCATAAATTATTCCCCTGAGAGCGTGCACCATCCAAATAAAGGTCGAGTTGGCCTCGTAGATCATTTCTAATAAGGAGTGAGTTCGATCCTCATAGCTCGTCATCATGGCTATTTCGTTGTGCCCAAGTTAAGCGATACGTAGTGAATAACTATGATTAATACAACCAACTGATTAGTTAGAAACATCCCAGGATGCGTTAAATATTTGCAGCCTGACGCGTAGTTATTCTTATTTACTAGGAATAATTAAGAACAAAGCTATAAATATGGGGCACAACATTCAAGAGTAATAATAAATAAAACATTAAGGTGTCCATTGGTACGTGAGTGAACAAGTGAATCTTACCTTGGTTTGAAATTTTCACTGTGGCTCAATTTATGTAATATTTACCACCCACCTGCCTCTCCCTCACATGTTGGATGTGGTGAGATTCTCGCTGCTTTATCGCCACTTCCATGGAAAATGCTCGGACGAACTACATTCCTTGGTTCTGCCAGTTTTAACCTTCACGGCTAGGACCCACCATACGGCTTATATTGTAGCAAACCACCCACTTTCTCTCCGTATTCTAGAAATCAGTTTCACTGGAACAGCTTCTTCCCACGAACCGCTTCTCTGTTGATTTGACTCCCAACAGGATATTTCCATGATAACTACAATCTTAACCTGTTCAAGTTAACCGTTATCTCCCCTCCCATCCATATAAACTGTTACTTAATGTAACCTTCTATCACTAGTGGCCTCGGGCCTTATACAAAGTGAACCTGGCTGTAAAAAAAATAAAATAAAAGGCCCGACTCACCAAAATTTGACCAAATGACCAAATAGATGTTTTTTTTTTTTTTTTTTTTTTGGCGGGGAAGCTACTTGGTTCAACGAAAAACTTTCAGCACCCTCTCGTGTTTTTATATATATATATTATATATATATATATATATATATATATATATATATATATATATGTATGTGTGTGTGTGTGTGTGTGTGTGTGTGTGTGTGTGTGTACGTGTACGCATGCTCACGCACAAATGTTTCTATCTAAGTACTAATATGGGAGTTTCAGATACTACGTTCCAAAGTTTTGGGCTCACCCCATACCGACACCCCAAAATCGCATGAGTAATTATGTGGGGGTGTGAAATTGTAATTGCAGGAATATGTTAAGCTCCAGATGTGCGTCTTAAATTGAGAAAGACAGAACAGGGAGAAATAGCGAGACAGGCAAGGCGCCTGTCATGATGCGGCAGTCAGTCAGGTTGTCTCGCAGCCCAATTGGGTAGCGACATGAGTTCGATTTCTGTGAAAGTTGGCCTTGCGTGGGAATAACAGAATTTTTTTTTATTAAAACAGGGCCATGCCTCTCCAAGTTTTACACAATTCAATACATAAGTTTACATTGTATCTCCTCCCAAGCATAGTTTGATTATAACTCAATTTCTATTCGTTTCATCTTATGAATAAAATATGTTCTCACGGAACTCATGAAGTGCGAGAAAATAAACTGTTAGCATAGAATTTATGGTTACATTTAGCCAACTCAACTCTAAATTGATTGGATATCGACGCCAGTCTAGGAATGTGCTCAAATTCAAAAAGTCTAGGTACCATAGTGAAGAGTTCATCCGAACAATCACCATGAAAGTATTTATAGAAAAGGTACAGGGAGGCAACCTTACAGTGGCGGGAAAATGACTGAAGCCGAGACGCCAGATGAGGACCAATAATATTGTTGATTCTTCTTGGGAATTTATCAAGGAGCTCTAGATAAATAACAGGAAAAGCGGACAATATGCGCCGGCAATATTCTAGGCATAGACGAATGGTATACTTATGTATATGTAGGATAGATTCCGGGGAGAAAAATTGTCTCACACAACACAGAGAACTAACTTTCTTTGCAGCTGACCTAGTGATGGATTCAATATAGGCTTTTCATTTCATGTCAGCCGAGAATTTTAAACCGAGAAGGTGCAACGAGTCAATTTCCTGGAGGTTAGCATCAGCCATGCTGACGGAAGGCAGAGAAGGGTCTGTCATATGATTAATAGAGAGAAGTTTAGTTTTGAAGGCGTTAAAATTGACAAGCTATCTTTTGCCCCAGTTAAAAACAGACTGAAGAGCTGCCGAGGGTCAAGAGAATGGCTATTGTAAGACCCCATGTCTGGCAACAGGACTCTGCCCCATGCCACACAAGCAAGAGAACGCAGTTATAGCTGTCAGACAATTTCTGCTATCACATCACCCCTTACATCTGGCTACCTAACTCCCCATACTGCATTCCCTTGATTAATATTAGTGGAACGCAGTTGAGTGAGAGACCAACAAAACTCCTTGTAATACCAAAGATGAATTGAAGACAAGGATTATGGCAACATTCACAAACCTAAACAAGAAAACTGTCCAGAAGAGTTGCAGGAAATTCCGAAGTCGTGGTTGACACCAATAGTGATTTTATAGAATAAATTTACTCTTTAATACTTCAAGATACATTTTGTGTAATTTTGGTAAATATATCTGTTAAAATGAGTTGTCAATGTTTTCATTTTTACGTAATTTAGACGACAATTAACCCCCTGCACCCTGTATATATATATGTATATATAATTATTTGTTTGTAAGTTTAAATATACACATATGTGTTTATTTTGACGAAAGCAATTCAGAGATGGCAGACCTGCATGTACATATTCAAATATATAATATTCTTCCGTATGTAATATCCACGTAGTTACATATGGGCGTCGAAATGTGTGGAAATCACTTTGTTTTCACAATGTTGCAAATCATTTTATTATTTCCACTATTCTTTTCATTCTGTTTCATTCATTCATACCAAGACTCTTTGCTTATTTTCGTGTATACCTTTTTTAAATTTTGCTGTTAAACAAATACAAACACACACTCATACATTCACACATACGCACATACACATACTTTGTGTCCCTGTATGAATTCAAAACTTCCTATCTTTCTAAGAAAAAAAAATATTGAGAATGTTTAAAGTTTCGTCAGATTTGTATTGGGATGGGTTGGTTGATTTTACGACATGTCAGCCATTGTTGGCTTATTTAATGTCGAAATCTGTTTTTCTTATTATATGTAACCTCTAACCATTTAAATGGTTTGACGATAGGTAATTATTGTTCGTTTATATTTGAGTTTCTAAGCTTTGACTTGGTAGGTCGTCACTTTTGGAGGGGGCTTACTTTTCTGCTGGGGATGCAATCGTTGGTAATAGGACCACACACACACAAACACACACACAAACACACACACACACACACATATATATATATATATGATAAAAGTTTTGTGTACACATGACCTGTAGATTGACCTGAAACAGACTGTCGCTACTCAGTGTTGACATCAATGTCTACGCTTATATATATATATATATATATATATATATATATATATATATATATATATATGAGCGTGCGCGTGTGTGCGTGTGTATGCAGAATGTGAAGTAGTATAGTATTGCATGAATATACCTTACCTTAAATCTTCTTAGTTATGTCTTGAAGAATATGAATAATTCTCTTCATTTATCCTAAGACTACCATTAAATGTGAACAAAATATTTCTTCTACTTTTGGTTTCTAAGGTGTATTGGTTGGACCCAGCCTGTCATCCAGCCATCAATCCGTCCAATGTAGCTCTACATCTATCACTAAAATTACTGTTGAAAAATCAATTCTCTTGTGTTTCTTTACTTTATTTGCATGTTTCTGTTTATGGGGTATGAGTGTGTGTGTGTGTGTGTGTGTGTGTGTGTGTGTGTGTGTGTGTGCGAGTGAGAGAGAGAGAGAGAGAGAGTGTAGCTTAATTGCTTTCATGTCATTATATTTGATATTCTACATATATTTTTCCATGTGTTTATATTAACAGCACTAATTCCTGCAAAGCTTTCTGGTTGTTAAATCCAATTTTCTTGTTTATTATCATTTTATTTTTTTTTAATCTCCTATAGTATTCTCAAAGCTATATTTTTTCTCCCTATCTTGCAAATTATTTTTCAATTTCCCTTTTTTTGTATTTTCTGATCTCTCTTCAACTATTTCGTAATTTCCAATGTTATATTCTCATCACTCAAGTTCTTTTTTGATGTTATATCTTTCTTCAAAAACATGCTAATATTTATATATTTGAAATAAAAATAAAAATAAAAAAAACTATCATAAATATTTATTTATGAATAACTGTCGAGTAGCTTAAAATAATGTCACCTCACGAAATGTATTACGGTAGATATTTCAGCACATATATAGATATATATATAATGCTACTAATAAATACACGATTGCTCCTCACTCTTTGTTACTCTGAGATGTACAAGTGCGGGCTATTATATATATATATATATATATATATATATATATATATATATATATATATATATATATATATATATGTTTGTGTGAGTGTATTTATGTATGTACGAGGTGCGTTCAAAAAGTATGCGACCTTTAGCTATAAAAAAATCAATTTTGTATATTTCATAAATGTTATTTAATCTCTTTACAAATAGTTCCCTTGCGAGTTCACACACTTCTCCAAGCGGC